TCCACAGGAGAAAGATGAGGCTTTCTGCTCCCCGTAAAGATTTACAGCCTCGGAAACCCTGTACCAGCGTCTCTATGAGTTGGAACCAACTCCACAGCACATAACAACAACAGTTGTAACCAGTTAACTTCCCTAATAAATCCCATAACTTACCTTAATATAGTCTAAAACTGTATTATGTCCTGATAGGAAGACTGTCCAAATTAAGAAAACCAAACTGAAGAAGGAACGCCAACATGTAATCGAGGAACAGTTAAAGGAATGACACATATTTAATGTAAAACGAAGACTTGTAGCAGTTATCAAGTATTGCAAAATAGAGCAAGGATACAGAATTTAAGGTTAGGTTTAAATTTTTCTGGTTTCACTGGGTAAAATGAGCTTTGGGTGTAAATAAGAAATAGCTCTAATGGTCCAAAAATAGAATGGTTTGCTTTTTAGAAGTGGTAGGTGCTTTGTTTCTGGAAGTAGAGCCTGTTAGGAGTGTTCTAGAGGGAATTTCTTCATGGACTAGAAGATTGATATGTTGTCAATACGTGCCACTAAGTTGGTCCCGAGTCATAGTGATCCTGTATAGGGTTTCCAAGGAGCAACTGGTGGATTTGAACTGCCAAACCTTGTGGTTAACGATTCTGTGCATATAGACAACGTGAAAGATAACTTTTTTTATATTTAAGTTTTTATTGTGAATTGAGTGATAGTTTACATGGGAGAACATCTGTTTTACAGTCATCCTATCATATTTCGTTTCATTGCAATGATTACAATCCCCTCCTTACATCATCATTCAACAATATTTGCTTCTATTTCCTCTGTTTTTTAATTTTGTTTTGATGTACACCAAAACACTCAAGAATATACAATCATTTCAACAACCAAAGGGCACATTCTGCAAGCCCGCCTCTTGGCTGCCAGCACACAACCTCTCTCTTTCCATGAATCTAGAGTCCTCAGCTGCTCCCTTTCTCCATGTCCTCACCTCTTGCCTCCGTCTGTGGTGTCACTGCTTCTCTGGATAGGGTCCCACATTCTGTTCGTGCTCTTCTCCCTTGATGGTCTTAGGGTCTTCTGTTCCTGGACTGTAAGATTAACTACTCTCCCTTTTTGTTACAAAACTTTGTGTTTACAGTTGTGACAATTGCAGTTAGTCCTGATAACAGTTACTCATTATTGAATCATAAGAACCTTATCCCCATCTCCTTCATGAAAGATCACTCTTAAATCTACGGTTTTAAATTTTTTTGTGTCTGTGATTAGTCATTTGCTTTTCTTTATCTTTTTATTTTTACTAAATGTAAAACATTAAGTTCAACATTCTCATTTTTTACAGTGCACAGGAAGGTTGTTTATTTTTTTAATCCTTAGATCAGTACTTCTATTTTACTGTTCATTATTTCCATTCCATAGAAAAGGAAACTGAAATATGTATGTCCAAATATTCCATTTGAAGGTTTTTTTTTTGAACAGAAGAAATAGGAAGATGTAGTCAATTTGTGTTATTGAGTGCATACTATGTGCTTATAAGGTGTCCTGGTTAAGTACTCAGTTGCTTACTGAGAGGTTAGTGGTTTAAACCCACTCTAAGGGAGAAAAGACCTGTCAGTTTGCTCCTGTAAAGATCACACTCTAGGAAACCATAGAGAGCAGTTCTGTGTCCTACAGGGTTGCTGTGAATTGGAATTCACTCCACAGTACACAGCAATAACCAGAACTATGTGCTAGGCTCCAGGCTAAGGATTTTATATCACTACCTCATGTAATCCTGACAATTCCCTAGCAGAAGGTTAAGAATTAACATTCCCACCCTATATTTTATAGTTTAAGTGTCATCAAGGTTGTTCCGACTTACAGAGCAACCTTGTATAGGGTTTCTGAGGAGCAGCTGGTGGGTTTGAACTGCTAATCTTGTGGTTCACAGTCTAGTGTTTATCCTATAAAGCCCCACCAGGAGTCTTCACTTACTTCATTGATGAAGAAATTGAGTCAATGAGATTAACCTACTAGTTAACATAGAATTCTTGAGTACCCTTTACTTTGGTCATAAACAATAATGCTTACTGTTTATATTCTCTGCCCCCAGTTGTCTTTTGGAAGGCCTTTCTTTTTAGCAAGGAATACTTTTCCATCCCTTTTTCTGCAGTGAGTTCCATTTCACCAAGTCAGAAGAATACCTGTAAGATCATTACCTTCTTGTTAAAATAATTTTATTTGTCACTAATACTTTGTGTGTTGTTAAAGTAGTATTTCTAACGTTGTTTCTTTCTGAGAACTATGGTCTTTTCTTCCATTTTAGAGTTGATGGTTAAAAATAAAATTTGATCTTTTAAAATGAAGACCACTGACACTATTTAGATAACAGATGTTCATGGTTAATTAATGAAATGCCTCACAAGGGAGCCACCCATGTGTAGAGGAATGGTACTTGTACAAGTGTCTTTTCTGTAGAAAGGCATTCTGTATTTTTAAAAAAGGGGTTATTGTACCCAGCTACCACTGCCAACTGTTCAGAAAGGGATCACATTAGAAGGTCCTGAATTGAGCAGGAGAAAATGTGGAACAAAACTCAATTATTAAAAAGACTGGACTTACTGGTCAGAAAGAGACTGGAAGAACCTGAGACTACGGCCCGTGGCCACCCTTCACGTCTTGAATGGAACTCAAGCTCTTGATCTAATTTTCAGCCAAGTGGTAGCTAGGTACACAGGGGGACAACAACACTAATAAGGTATGCTTACTATGGAATGGCCAACCATTCAAGATCAAAAAGGCAACATTTACCTAAGGACAAAGTTCAAAAGGTCTGGAAGGAGGGTGGAATGGAAATAAGAATTCCAGGGCGGAAATGGGATAGGTGGTGTTGCATGGAGGAGATTCCAATCATTGAAGTGAAACAAAATTGTGTGATTTGTTGGATGTAAAAGTGATTATCTGCTTTATAAACCTCCATTCAGTTCACAGTAAAAATTTAAAAACTACTTATGACTTTCTCTTTTTAGGTAGTTTTAAACTAAAATATCACTAGCCTGCATCCCATCATTATAATATCCATTGCTGTTGTATTGATTCTGACTCACGGTGACTCATGTGTTATAAAATAGAACTGCTGTAGTCTTTATAGAGGCAGATATCACTAGGTCTTTATTGTGTGGCACTGCTCGGTAGGTGTAAACCACCAACCTTTAGGTTAGTGGTCAGGCGTAACTGTGCTACTTGTGGACATCTTTTCATTATAAAATGTTATTAGGTGCTGTCTAGTCAGTTCCTGGAGCTCTGGTAGCGTAGTGGTTATGAATTGGACTGTCTAGTCAGTACCAGGAGCTCTGGTAGCGTAGTGGTTACGAGTCGGGTTGTGAACTGCAAGGTCAGCAGTTCGAAACTACCAGCTGCTCCGCAGGAGAAAGATGAGGCATTCTGCTCCCGTAAAGATTTACAGCCTCGGAAACCCTGTGCAGGGTCGCTATGAGTCGGAATCGACTCCACGGCACATAACAACAGTCAGTTCCAGGAGCTCTGGTAGCGTAGTGATGAATTGGGCTGCGAACCTTAAGGTCAGCAGTTTGAAACTACTAGCTGCTCCGTGGGAGAAAGATGAGGCATTCTGCTCCCATAAAGATTTACATCCTCGGAAACCCTGTACAGGGTCGCTATGAGTTGGAACCGACTCAACGGTACTTAACACCAACAGTCAGTTCCAACTCATACTGACTGTGTACAGAGCAATTCGCTGCTGGGTCCTTCACTATCCTCACAATCATTGTTATATATATATAGATTTTTTTTTTTTTTCACCCTGGTTTCCTTATTGTATCTTTGGTTTCACATCTTTGCTCATGTTTTCTGTCTTCTCAAATCACAATGGAAGATGAATTTGTTCCTGTGCTGTTCATTGGCCACTCAATCTTCATGTGCTCTGAATTTTCTCTCCACTCAACTTATCAAGGATTTTGTGTGTGTGTGTGAGTTGAGTGTTTACAGACAAGATCATCAGTTTTACTTCCAACAAATCATATGCTTTGTTTCATTTCAATGATTGTAATCCCCTCCATGCAGTAACAGCTGTCCCATTTTCTCTCTGTGGCTATCCATGTACAAATACCCTCTTTCAAACTCTTAAATATTTGTGAGATATATAAATATATAATCCATCATTATAATAGTACATACTAAACAAAAGGACTTCTTAACAATAATTTAGGTATCTTGTAGATTATTTTACATTTTTTATTGTAGTAAAATGTGTTGTCCTTAAGTGCCATCGAGTTGGTTTCAACCCATAGTGACGCTGTATAGGGTTTCTGAGGAGCAGCTGGTGAACTTGAACTGTCGACCTTGTAGTTCAAACTGACTTTACAGTCCAGTGCATTAACCCACAGTGTCACAAAATATTACACTTTAAATTATTTTAAGTGTAAAATTGAATGACCGTTAAACTCACAGTGTTTCATAACCACTACTATTATCTATTTCCAAAACCTTTTCATCACCCTAAGCAAACTCAGTACTTCCTAAGCAATAACTCCCCATTCCTCCTACATTCCAAGTAACCACTGATATACTTTGGTTTCTCTACTTTTGCCCATTGCACATATTTAGTTGTCCTTTGGGGTCTGAGGAGTCCTAGTGTGGCACTAGAGGATAAACAGTGGACTGCTAACAACAAGGTCAGTGGTTCAAACCCACCAGTCACTCCTTGGGTGCTATTAGTTGGAACCAACTTAACCACCACCAATAACAACAATAATGGGATTAGAAGTATTTCACTCAGCATAATGTTTGCAGAGTTCACACATGTCGTGTATCAGAACTTATTTCTCTTTATGACTGAAAAGTATTTCATTGTATGTGTATACCAAATTATGTTGTCCATTTATTTGTCAATGAACTTATTGCATTATTATCTGAGATTCAAAATGGTTTAGCAGTTTCTTTTTGTAAAGGAATCCTTATAAGGCAATTCAGAATCATTTTACCAGCATTAATGAAGTTTTGTTTTTTCACAGAAAAATTTTGAAAGACTTATCTTCTGAAGATCCACGGAGCAGAAAAGGGGACGGAGAAAACCCTGGAGTTTCTACTGTCACTTCTATGTCTGTTCCAACTCCCATCTATCAGACTAGCACTGGACAGTATAGTATGTATAAGAATCAATTTCCACCTGACAGACACGTAAGAATTTCTGTGGAGAGAAGTGATATATATATATATACAAAGAGTGTCAGACTTTATACAAGGGGGCTTTAAAAAGTTTATGAAAAAAAATGGAATTGAAAAAATTGGAATTTTCCCATGAACTTGAATCCCCCTTATAATGGTTTTTCAAGGGTAATGTTGTGAGCTTTTATTGTGTGATAGGCATAAAACATAATACATAATACAAGAGTCCTTGTCTGGCACTGTAGGATTAGCACTGACTGCTAAACACAAGGTTGACTGTTTCATACCCATAAGCAATTCCTCAAAACCCTGTGCAGCCTCACTGAGTTGGAACCAGCTCAATGGCACGTAACAAGCAGTGTTTTTGTTGTTATTAAGTGCTGTCAGGTTGATTCTGACTCATAGCAACTCTGTAAGATTTCCGAGGAGTGGCTAGTAGGTTTGAATTGCCAACTTTGCAGTTCAACGTGACCTTGTGGTCCAGTGCTTATCCTGTAGCGCCATACTAGAACTCCTAAAAACAATAGGCATGCTAAAAAGTTGGTTTTAGTCATTATCTCATTTACTGCTTACAACAACTTTGTCGGGTAAGCACTGTTGTTATATGAGGAAACAGAAGCTTACAGGGTTAGACAATGTCCCTAGAGGTAGGCAGTTTCTAAGTTATGGAGCAAGAATTTAAAACCAGGTCTTTATGAGTTTAGAGATGTAATTTTACCCCAAACTACACTCCCCCTTTTTTTTTTTAAAGTTCTTATTATGAACTGAATGATAGTTTACATGGGAAAACATTGGCTTTATACTCATCATTTCATTGTAATGATTATAGTCTCCTCAGTGCATCATCATTCAACAGTATTTGTTTCTATTCCCCCTTGTTTTGTTTTTTTTTTGTTTGTTTGTTGTTTATCCTTTTTTGGGATATACACCAAAACACTCAGGAATATATAATCATTTAAATAACCAAAGGGAGCATGCCTGCAAGCCTGCCTCCTGGCTGCAAGCACTCAGTCTTTATCTGTCCATCCGTCTAGAGTCCTCAGCTGCTCCCTCTCTCCATGTCCTCACCTCTGCCTCCATCTCTGGTGTCGCTGCTTCTCTGGACAGGGTCTCACATTCGATTCATGCTCTTCTCCCTTGATGGTCCTAGTGTTCTTTGTTCCTGGACTGTAAGATTAACTCTCCCCATCCCCCTTTTTGTTGCAAAACTTCTACCTTTACAGATGACTACACTCCTTTTTATAAACTCTTTGGACACTAGCCAATTGTGTCTGTGACTATAATTCCAAAAGAAATGACTATTTGAATTTGTTGCGTAGTGAAAAATGAATGATGAATTTTCTATTTCAGTTTAAGAAGTCTGAATCAAAGAAGATTCAGACTGCTTTATAAATGAGATTTATCAGAACTGATAAACTTTAGTAAGTCACTAAAGGTGTCGTGGTGTGGTGCTGCAGGATAATATGGTGGACTGCAAGGTCAGTTTGAATCGCAAGGTCAGCACTGCAAACTCACCAGCTGCTCCTTGGAAACCCTATACAGGATTGTTATGAGTCAGAATCGACTTGACAGTACTTTAGAACAGCAGCAAATGTCTATATCAGAAAAGATTGCTATTGTCAATAACTAGAACAAAGTGGGTACCTGTTGTTGTTGAGTGCCTTCGAGTTTGTTCCGACCCATAATGACCCTGTATAGGGTTTCCGAGGAGCAGCTGGTGAGCTTGAACCGCCAACCTTGCAGTTCAGACGGCTTTGCAGTCTGGCGCATTAACCCACAGCGCCACACCAGGACTCCTACAAAATCTCATCTGGGGGCTAGTTAAAGTTATAAAGGAAGCAAATATGGTCCTTGCCTTTTGAGAGGAAAGTGTATATAGTCAGAGGAGACAGTGATAAAAAACAAAGTACCTACCACAAACACCACTGGACCAATAAACAGCATTCTTATCAATGGAGAAAAGATTGAAGTTGTCAAGGA